TATATATATATATATATATATATATATATATATATGCATATACAAGGAACTTAAAGCACGAAATGTCTTCATCAAGGAAAGAAAAAATTAATAGAAAATAAAGTATTGGTTGTATGATTTTAAGATCTGTGTGAAATATGCCGTGAGACACGGGAAGCACTAAATAACTTGACAGATTAACAAACTGCTTAATTAAAGTTGTCAAACTTTGAATATCATATAGCAATATAAATTATCTGTGTCCGTACAGATTTTGTTGTCTCTAATTGTACACAGTCACTAACTGTACGCGCACGGCTGTCCACGCCTCATAAATCGGTGTGCGTCATGTATATTACTAACACGTGAATTTGTTTTTACTTTTTTGCTCGATGACTTTGTACATGTGTGCGTGTACGTGTGTGTGTTCACGTATGTGTATGTATTAAAAGTGCGTAGAAAAAAATCAGGTACAAAGTATAAAGAAGAAGTCAAAGAAAATAAACTGGAACAGATATGAACACATAGGAAAGAAACGATGGAAAAAAATCAGGGTTATTATGTACAATAGAAATGTTTTGATTAGGAAAATTCTGTCTCATAAACTGGACATTTCTCCCTGCGTGGGTGTCCTCGTGACCGATCTACCTCTCCCCTCTGGCTCTCTCTCTTTAATCTTCACTTTAACAGTTCATTTCTTCCAAAACCTTTCTCATTTTTTGTCAACTCATTATCCTCCTTTTTCATTTATCTTTCTTTTCATTCTTTCGCTTTCTCTGACATTCTTCTTTCTTATGATTTCTTCTTCCTCTTCTTTTTCCCCACTATCTCCGGCTCTACTCTTTCCTGGCCTTTTCTTCTCACTGTCTTTGTCTTTTTCTTTTCTTTTCTTTTCCCCATGTCCATTCACCTGAATTTCTTCACTCAGTGTCATGTTTTCTTCACTTCCCATCCTTTTCCTGTCTTTTTCTTTCTCCCTTCTTTCTTTGTGTTCTTTCTTTCCCTTGCGTTCGCCGTCTTCTTCCATCTCCCCTCTTTCACTGTCTTCTTTCCTCTCTTTCCCATCTTCTCTCTTTCTTCTCTCTTCTTTCTTCATTTACTACTTGTCTTTTCGCTTCTCTTTGTAGTTTGTCAGACTTACTCTTTCATATTTCTGATTCATCATCATCATCATCATCATCATCATCTTACTATTATTATTATTATTATTATTATTATTATTATTAAAGCAGAACAACAACAACAACAACAACAACAACAACGGTAATAATACCCAGAGATGAGAGAATAGCTCTTGCTTGGTCTGTCCAATGGAACCGAAAGGAAGCAGAAAATATCTCTACCACGGCATAGTGATAACGACTGTACCACAGACAACCCTTTCTGATGTTGACAGCCAAGGGACAGTGGCACAATTGCGGACTAGATGGCCTACAATAATACTGTCCAGTGACTACTTAGTGGGTATCTTCAGTATAGGTTAATTCGGCAATGCTGTCTGACCCATCACTGCCATCCGTGCCTCATGCAGCGTTTGAAAGTCTCGCCACGACACTTTTCTGTATCTACCCTGGCGGGACGGAGTTGCACCCTCAGTTCCTCTTGTAACAGTAAGTACTGGTTGGGGGTCGGCGATCTGCTGCTGTCACAATGTCCAAGTGTCGGTTGGTTACGGTTCCATCCTGATCAGATATTCACAACTACTACGACTATCGCATGATCATATTTATCATTACCACCATGATCCTTATTATTGTTATTTTTATGTAACTACTACTACTACTACTACTTCTACTACTACTACCATTACACAGTACTGTAATCACTACGACTCTTTTTATAAGCATTTCCACCCGCATTGTATCGAACTACTCGTGCAGTTAATTTCATTACTGTTTTAGTGTTTTATTACTACCACTACTACTATTACCACTACAATAATAATAATAATGACTAGTATTAAGTTAGTTACTACTGACCACAACAAGTTATAACAATTATTGAACGTTAGCACACGAATGATTTCGATCTCTCGATTAAAACCAGCTGATTTTTCTAGATTCCTCGATTACTTAATAAAGAAATAATAATTATTAACTGAATTTGTTAATTACTACTACTACTACTACTACTACTACTACTACTACTACTACTACTACGAGTGTCACTGTTTTCTTCTCCTGATGCCACCACTCAATCTATACAACTACCACCCGCATCATTTCAAAATAACGCTATTATTACTTCTACCACTGCAGGCAACGTTCGCACTATCACCATAATCATCACTACCACGGCTACAATTATGTATTAGAAGTTGTACTACTGATAGCATCACCATCATTATCATCATCCAGCCTGTACCCCTGTAACCAGCTCGGCGTTCACCTACCTCCGCCCTTACCATCGAACCAAAGCTTTCAAGTCCGTCGACGCATCCAGACTCCTCGGTCTTTTTCTTTCTCTTCCTTCCGATGGAAACAAAAACTGGAAAGCATTTCTTTAAACCAAATGGAGCTATGTGAAGACAGCTGATCTTCGAGAGGACCACGTTATGACCACCCAGGTAAAGTGGAGTAACTTCCAATATATATATATTTTTTGTTTGTTTGTTAATATTGTTGTTGTTATTATTGTTGTGCAGTGTCTGTGAGAACTGCAAGTAGAGGTAATCATCATCACAGTGAACATCAATGATTTTGTATACACTTATCAAAATATAGCAGAAACTCAAACAATGTTATTGAATATAATAAGTATCAAACAATACTTAAGAAAAATATTAGACATATTGGTATTTTGTAACAACGAATATTTTTCTCAAATTCTTTTACGTTGATGACAAAATATATTTTTCAATTATTTATTTTATTATGCAAATTTTTTATTTTTATTTTGTGTGTGTGTGTGTGTGTGTGTGTGTGTGTGTATGTATGAGTGTGTGTATATGTACGTGTAGCCGGACAGTCCACAGGCTAATAGGACATTGAATTCAAATTAGAAACAGCTAAAAATAGCGTTTATTATTATTATTATTATTATTATTATTATTATTATTATTATTATTATTATTATAAAAAACAAAAGGATTGACGTAACTTCATGTTTTATTATTATTATTATTATTATTATTATTATTATACATATTTAAAGTAAATGACAAAATAAATCAACCTTTCTCGTTTCCACATCTGATCCCTAAAGTTATGTACAATTTGTAAATAGACATATAATTACGTACATACATGCATACACAGGCGCATTATGTAAGAAGCGACATATATATATATATATATATATATATATATATATATATAAGAACAATTTATAAGCTATGGTGAAGTAACTAGTTGATTATGAATTAGATATAATTTTTAACAAAATCTGTCTTAATGGAAGAAATGTTATTGAAACTCACACATAATTACAGATACCTATCCTCTGATGTATGTAAATATCCCTTCTGTTTGTATCCTCACATCTGACTAAAATACAACGTTTCTTAAATTAAGAAGCCTAAAAATTTTGATGAACTTCACTTCTGGATAAGGAGAGGAGTATTCAGGTAATATTTTAGCTCAACCTACCTTACAATAAAAAGGCGAAATATAAATATTAATATGTGTTTTAATATATATTCAGACATTCATATTGTTACGTGCGCACACACACACACACACACACACACACACACACACACACACACACACACACACACACACACACACACACACACACACACACGGTATAAGCGTGCGCGTGTGCTTGTACGGTATGTTGATGTTTTGATTTCTAAGATAATAAATTAACTATATTTTCCACCTACAAACATGACAAATTTACTTCATGTTTACTGCATTTTTTAATATTCTTGCTGTTCATGATAATCATCTTGTTGCGGTTGTTGACCAAGTAAATTGTCGCTGAAGTTATTTAATGTCTACACATATTAATTAGATACACTTTGGTTAGATCATGTTTTAAAATACTTAAGAGTTGTTTTAGTAGTGGTTTGATTTAATTTGTTATCTTCTACAAGAAAAAAATTACATTATTATTATTATTTAAAAAGTAATGTTAAAACGTAACATCAACTCATAAAAGTCAGCTTTTATATGTAGTGATGCCGTATTGAGCAGTGCTGTAATTCGCCACTTTTTCTAGAGTCTCTTGAGACATTTTGTCTGAAATGTCTCTTGTTTGTTTTCCGTTATTACCTAAACATTATTTTCCTTCTTCTTCATCTTCTTCTGTCTGTATTATTATCATTGTTGTCGTTATTAATTATCTGGCTAATCAGATTGATTAAATTAGTTTAAATTTCTTGGTTTGTAAAAAAGTAGTTTAAATTTCAATATTTTTTCATATGTTTGTCTCTACTTAAACCTGTGGACAGATATACTTAGACAGTCTTTCGAATTAATTTTACACGTTGATATTTTTGAATTAGGGTTTGACACGATTTCAGTCTTTTCATCTTAAGTCCTTGTGTCAATGTTCTTCCACGGTTCTTAATTTTATTCTCTCTCCTTAATAATGTTTCTCCTTTTCTTATTCTTTCACATTAATTAACCCTTTCTTATGCCTTAGTGGCTTTACATACTTGCTTGGGTAAAATGATTAAAAATATAATTATGTAATTGTTTTCTTGTTTACATAAAAAACAACTTTTGTCTGATCATGTAAAATAAAAATAACGTCTGGAATAAATATTGACTATGATTTCTGTCCAATAAACTCTTGTTGCGTTGCTGTTATCCACTTTAACCAAATGTTTTTTTAGATAAAATGACAGCAAGTTATATATGAACCGCAATAATTTTCTTTAAATTTCTACCGTACTAAACACGGCTGTATTTACTTTATAATTTGTAATATCAATTTTTAGCCAAACTCGTTTAGCGGCATATACTGTGTTTTTTAAGAATGACGCACAGTACTCCTATTATTATTGACACGACCGTTACTCTATTTTTTAATCTTTGTTAGTTTATTGCAGTTCATTTTAATTTTTTCCCCAATTTTTCTTCTCAGACACTTCTATTCCTCTTCCCTTTTACAATTTCTTAAATTTCACCTTTCTTCTTTAGACTTTAACTTTTCTTTTTTTCTTCCACAATAAGTGCTCTTTCTGTCTTCCCTCCTTTTTATATCTCTCCTATTACTCCAGTTTAAGAATTAGTTGCAGGCTCATATATATTGATCAGTTCTTCCTCGCAGCCTCTATATTCATTTTTGCCACCATAACGACGGTGACTATTTATTCGTCATCTTTCTCACACACAATAATAATATCTACGTTCAATTTGAGTTTATTTTTTTTTTTTTTGTACTGTTCATACTTCGTAATTGTAAGAAGTGGGCACAGCCTAACGAAATTTTTACGTATTAAAATCTACACTCATCTATTAAACAGTGGTTTCTAAAAGGCATGAACGAAAATAAGTGAGTTTTCCCAAGTCTTTTATCTCTGTAAAACTTTAAAATAACGAATGGAAATTTTAATGTCGTAGAACAGAAAAAATCATTATCACATTTCTATACAAGCGAAAAAGTTGAGAATATGTTTAGTCACTAGATTACCTTATCGTAAAAGTTGGGAAATCTAAATAATTACTTTTTTAAAAACTGTTTCGGGTCACATTTGAAAAATATGTATGGTTGTTTATATTTTACTATGTGTTTTCTACTGTATTAGTAAGACTATTTGGCAGAAATTTTAATAATTAATGCTTGCGGTAAAAATAAAATAAAAATGACCTTTGAACTTGCAGATCAGTAACCGAATACATTGATTCTTCTTAAAGCACGATCGCTTTAGTTAACCCAAATCTCACGTGCGTATGTTTGTTGTTGGTATCATTTGTGGCTACTTTCATTTCACAAAAATACCATAATAAAGGTTTTTTTTTTCTTGTATAGTTCCTGTATATCAAATCAAGCATTCTTTTGAAAAATGTAATGAAAAAGAATTTAAATCAATTTAGCACAAAATAAAATTATTTTGTTTTGTTCTTGTAAAGTTATTTAGAAAAATCCCTTTCTTTTCCGTATTAATGATATAAACATTCAAACTGGTTACTTTGTCATGGACTTGTACTTAACCCTTAGTACTGTGTATTAGTATTACTTCCCTTTCTACTGCATTATTTTTCAAGGCCTCTCAATTTCAATATCTTTATTGTTAATTTCACTCAGTTGTTTTCTGTTGCCATAGCAGGATACGACAGAACAATCATGAAATTCAAACACATTATTGATAGATCTGAGTCACTTTCAGTAGCAGGATAATATTTTGTACAGCAAAGGAAGTCACATACAGGTTAATATGCCAGTCTCGTAGATTATGGCAACTGTAGTGAGGTCAATTTTCACTGTACGCAACATACTCGTGATCTTATACGAGAATAAGCTATTAGGTGTCAGATGTAGAACATTGTCAAGCAGCTTAGTATCTTAAGGCTTTGCTCATGACCTAAAACTCGACTGAATGCTCTATTACGGAATTCATGTGACAGATTAAGAGGATGAATAAATATCTCTCTAGATAGGATAACTTTCGGCGAACATTGGTTAATAAACTATTCTGTTAGCTCATTACTACTGTGATGAAATCGATTATGTACTCTGCTACTGTAGACTTGTGCCAAACATATATGTCAAAGGGTAAGAAATGTATCAGTCTGGCAAGCGGCTCTAAATGTAAGTCGCCTCGCCAATTGGAGATATTTTCTCGAAACGTCTATACGCCTACTTCAGGCTTGAATTTTCTTTCGCCTTACACGGCCTCGCCATATCACTGACAATATATGACCCAGTCAAATCAGTAAGAATTTATTTCATTTTTCTTTTCTGTATCATCTTTCCTATAACTTCTAGTAAATATTCGGTTCCCAGCATAAATAAACTAGGTTGCAATTCTAGTTTCTATGAATATGTAGATAAATTATTTTCTCTCAAATGTTAAACACGTGTTCTTGTTTATATTGAACTATGCATATAAGTGTTACTAGATCGCGTGTATAGTAATGCTGTATTGGGATGATAAGATAGATTAATCTCTACTAGCCATTCCAATATATATATATATATATATATATATATATATATATATATATATATATATAACGTTTAAGCAATAAATTAAAATATAGGTGTGTGTGTGCATGAATAAAAGATGTGTATGAATATTGAACGCAAGGTACATTTCTTTTATTGAGTATCTTAGATACATTCTTGTGATATATCTTGTTTAGAATTCTTGACGGGTAGTTTTCTAAGCGAGTAATAATTTTTATATGAAGTGTAAAAATCTAAGTGTATGGTGGTATTCAGAATTTACTAATTAAAATAGGTAGTGTATAAACAGTACAGTTATGAAAAATGCCACTCAAAACAGGAAAATATATATAAAATATCTAAAATAAGATTGAAAAAATTCCGGATGTGGTAGAAAACATATTACAAGGTAGAAAAAACGAAATTTCTACCAATTCCTGTTGGCGTCATTAAATTCTAAAG